TTTTTTTTACTGATTTGAAATTAGATGCATTGTTGTCTATGGATCCATGTACACAGAATACAAATCAGTAATACAGTGACAAGTACAGAGCTGTAAAACAAAAATAGAAATGTTTACATTTGAGTGCAGTATTTACGCACATACATGTGGTTATGCATCTATAAGCATGTTACGTGTGTATAAATGAGTATATTACAACACTGGCAATGAAGAAGATTTTTTCTCATCTATACACGCTTATACTCAACGCTACTCAAGGTCTTTACACGCAGAATTGTTTTACTCAGGGACTTTCTGTCAATAAGTTCCTGGGTAAACATCAATAAATTATGATGCCTATGTGCAAGGGGCATAAAAACGCCCTCTTTCCTCTTTTGTTGTAAAGGCCCCTGGGAGCTGTAGTCACTTTCCCAGCATAGAGCAGTCCCCCTTGGATCTGATGGAACTAATATATCTCATGATTCTTCTCTTTAACACTCTTATTCCATTGGCACCTGGCCTAAGCCAATCAAGATAGGACAACAGCAGTCAATGGGAAGTTAAAATTATTCTAAAGGTTGCAAGTTAAAAAAAAATTACAAAAATGTTATACTTACCTGTTCTGTGCAATGGTTTTGTACAGAACAGCCCCAATCCTCTTCTTTTTGGATATCCCGCCTGCGGTCTTGGCTCCTACCCCCTGCCGAGTGCCCCCAATAGCAAACCTCTTGCTATGGGGGCGTGCCTGAGCCGCACTCCTGTGAATGGACATTATCCATTCACACACAGAGCATGTCTTGGCCCGTTCCCCTTTGCTCACTGGCTGTGATTGACAGCAGCAGGAGCCAATGGCTTCCTACTGCTGCTGTGGGAGTCAATGAAGAGAGAGAGCTATGCATCGATGTATCAAAATGGGGCCCAGTTAAGCATAAGGGGGGAGCTGCACCCAGAAGTTTTTTTCACCTTCATGAACAGAATGCAGGAGGGTAAAAAACCTTCTGCCATTAGAATAACTTTAATGTGCGGACATGCTAGGACTTGCAGTCCCACAGTGGTTGATGCAAACAGTCTTTACTCAAGGAACTTTATGTCAGCACCTGGCTAGATAACTATTCTGGAATAACATATCAAAAACATGTAAATCAGCCAATAGATGAGGAATTTTTTTTTTTTTCTTCAACCAGTAGGAAAAAACCTAATTTTATTCCCTCATCCACACTGGATGGATAACGGAATTGTCCCTGCTGTCACCATTTCTGGGAGCTAGTATTGCATTCAATGACCCCAATGCTGGGGGTTTTTATTGTATCCACTGACAACAATATTGGGATTCAATATTGAATCCACTGACAGCAATATTGGGGTTTATTACTGTGTCCACTGACACCAATGTTGGGTGTAACCGCACTCCAACTTCTTCAGCGTGCATTGTGATATGCTGCAAAAAATGGACAGGACCAAAAGGTTTGGGTATTGGGGTGTGAAAATGCACTGCAACTGTGCATCCCTTTGAAGGTGTTGGGGGTTGAACTTGAGGCCATCTGTAATCTTCCAGCTGGACACCAGTGCTTTAAGGAAAAGCGCAATGTTCTGTAATGGCACATAATGTAGAGTGAGTACATTTTTAACACCACAACTTCTTCTTTATGAAATGAAATATTTTTTCCTCCTCCCAAACTCTTGTCCTCACAACTCCTCCTAGCCATGGAAAAACATATCTGTAAAAATTCCTTCAGCAGTCAACACAATATCGAAGACCCCTTGCATAGTTTCTCTCACAAGGAATGTCCTTCTGTCTTGGTTAACACAAGCCACACCACATTCTTGATGTGTGCATGCTCTGGTACATCAAAGTTCTCCAACAAAATATTGGCTTCTCCATGGGCAACTTAAAGTTTGTCTGAACCTCCTCTAGAGGACCCAGAGAGGTAATTACTCCTTGGGAGAGTTCAGCAGCCTCACCCCCAATAGCAGCATGTGATGGCATTGGGATATACCACAATGCTGAGATGGACTAGTACTCGTTACCCTTCAACTCCCAACTCAGACACTTGATCTAAGTCAAATGCAGAGAAGCAACTTATTCTTTCAGGCTGCTGGGCCATAATCAATGTAATGTATGAAAACCGTGGCTTCCATGGAATAGGGCTTTGGAACCAACAAGACAGTAATAATTACACAGGTTAGGGTGAAAGGGATTTGAGCAAATCACAAAGTCCTCACTTTAAATAGCGTGTAGCACAATAAAGTCTTGCTCGCTATCCCTATTTGGAAGAACCATGACACAGGGTTAAATGGCACTTATTTTATGTTGTAGAAATTGAGAAGGCACAATAGATAATCAACAGGCACAACAGACCGATATAGCATTGGCATCACATACAGTGGGGCAAAAAAGTATTTAGTCAGCCACCAATTGTGCAAGTTTTCCCACCTAAAAAGATGAGAGAGGCCTGTAATTGGCATCATAGGTAGACCTCAACTATGAGAGACAAAATGAGAAAAAAAATCCAGACAATCACATTGGCTGATTTGGAAAGAATTTATTTGCAAATTATGGTGGAAAATAAGTATTTGGTCACCTAAAAACAAGCAAGATTTCTGGCTCTCACAGACCTGCACCTTCTTCTTTAAGAGGCTCCTCTGTCCTGCACTCATTACCTGTATCAATGGCACCTGTTTGAACTTGTTATCAGTATAAAAGACACCTGTCCACAACCTCAAACAGTCACACTCCAAACTCCACTATGGTGAAGACCAAAGAGCTGTCGAAGGACACCAGAAACAAAATTGTAGACCTGCACCAGGCTGGGAAGACTGAATCTGCAATAGGCAAGTGGCTTGGTGTGAACAAATCAACTGTGGGAGCAATAATTAGAAAATGGAAGACATACAAGACCACTGATAATCTCCCTCGATCTGGGGCTCCATGGAAGATCTCACCCCATGGGGTCAAAATGATCACAAGAACAGTGAGCAAAAATCCCAGGACCACACGGGGGGAACCTAGTGAATGACCTGCAGAGAGCTGGGACCAACATAACAAAGGCTACCATCAGTAACACACTACGCCACCAGAGACTCAGATCCTGCAGTGCCAGACGTGTCCCCCTGCTTAAGCCAGTACATGTCCAGGCCCGTCTGAAGTTTGCTAGAGAGCATTTGGATGATCCAGAAGAGGATTGGGAGAATGTCATATGGTCAGATGAAACCAAAATAGAACTGTGGTAGAAACACAACTCGTCGTGTTTGGAGGAGAGAGAATGCTGAGTTGCATCCAAAAAACACCATACCTACTGTGAAGCATGGGGGTGGCAACATCATGCTTTGGGGCTGTTTCTCCGCAAAGGGACCAGGACAACTGACAGAATGAATGGGGCCATGTATTGTGAGATTTTGAGTGCAAACCTCCTTCCATCAGCAAGGGCATTGAAGATGAAGCATGGCTGGGTCTTCCAACATGACAATGATCCCAAACATACCACCCGGCCAACGAAGGAGTGGCTTCGTAAGAAGCATTTCAAGGTCCTGGAGTGGCCTAGCCAGTCTCCAGATCTCAACCCCATAGAAAACCTTTGGAGGGAGTTGAAAGTCTGTGTTGCCCAGCGACAGCTTCAAAACATCACTGCTCTAGAGGAGATCTGCATGGAGGAATGGGCCAACATACCAGCAACAGTGTGTGCCAACCTTGTGAAGACTTACAGGAAACGTTTGACCTCTGTCATTGCCAACAAAGGATATATAACAAAGTATTGAGATGAACTTTTGATATTGACCAAATACTTATTTTCCACCATAATTTGCAAATAAATTCTTTCCAAATCAGCCAATGTGATTGTCTGGATTTTTTTTTTCTCATTTTGTCTCTCATAGTTGAGGTCTACTTATGATGCCAATTACAGGCCTCTCTCATTTTTTTAAGTGGGAGAACTTGCACAATTGGTGGCTGACTAAATACTTTTTTGCCCCACTGTATGCTGTGGGGTATACAGTTTACTGGTATGCAAAACAGTGGTTGAAAAGCAGACTATACTTAGCATTGTTGTAAATATTTACAATTCAACAGTGCCAGAGGAGAGCTCTTAAAGAGGTGCTTGTAGGCAGATGCAGTCTGCTTCCTGTACTGTAGGTGGCACTGGAGCAGCACCACAGCCCAGAGAGGAAGTTAAGGGAAACTTGGTTTCTCTGTGGATTACTGGTTCCTAGAGGCAGAGTTCTGGTTGACTGCGCTGTATCCATGTGACTCATGGCAGCCATCTTGGGTCAGCACGTAGTCAGGTTGAAATCAGTTAGTTAAGTGCTGCCCCAGATGAGAGGGTAGGGTTAATGTCCTTCTCAGTTCTTTAGCTTTTGGCGGGATCTTTGGGTCCTATCCACTGTATTTATGTATATAAAAGTGGACAGTGGGTCAGAGAAGTCCGTCGATGCTGTCACCATTGTCTAGTCTTGGTCTATGTCGGTCTTGGCCCTCTCCCCAGTTCTCCAAAGAGAGCTACACCTGGAAAAGGGTGCAAGAATAACAGCCTGCCATCAAGATGTAAAGTCGTCAAGAGTTGGGGTCCACTCCAAAGACACCAGCTGCTGGAGTATGCTTCTGTTGAATGTTGTAACCACATGGACTGTATCTCTGCAGGTACGCTGGGGCATCACATAGCCTGGTTAGGTTTAAGGATTAGGGAATTAGGAATAATGACTGTTGATGAAAGCATTTAGGAAAGTCCTGTTGTTCTGTGGACTTTGTGTTCTTTGGACTGTATGCTGTTCTGCACTTTGCTTAGCTAGTTGCCGACTGCAGATAGCCGAATGATGGCTGCACTGCGGCCGGCCAGTTCTGGGTGGACGTCATATGACGTCCTCCCAGAACGCGCTCTCCTGCGCGCCCCAGGGGGCGCGCACCCGGCGATCTCCGTGATCGCTGTGTCCTACGGACACAGCTGATCATGTGATGTGGTAAAAGGCCAATCACAGCGGCCTTTTACCACGTGATCAGCGGTGTCCAATGACACGCTGATCACAGGGAAATGCAAGTGCCGGTTCTCGGCTGCACTTTCCTCACGCTGTCAGATCGTGAGGAAAGTACTGCCGAGAACCGGCAGTTGTCAGAGCGAGGATCGGCACCGATCATCAGGGCACTGATGATCAGTGCCCTGATGATCGGTGCCCAGCAGTGCCACCCACAAGTTCCGCCCACCTGTGCCCAGCAGTGCGCCCACTAGCTCCGCCCACCTGTGCCCAGCAGATCACCCACCTGTGCCCAGCAGTGCACCCACCTGTGTCACTCTACAGTGTCACACACACTGTGCCCAGAAGTGCCACCTACCTGTGCCCAGCAGTGCCACCCACCTGTGCCCACCCACCTGTGCCCACCAGTGCAACCCCACCTGTGCCCACCCACCAGTGCCGCCCACCAGTGCCACCCCACCAGTGCAGCCCAGCAGTGCTGCCAGTCAGTGCCACCAGTCAGTGCCCAGCGGTTGTGCCAGTCAGTGCCGCCAGTCAGTGCCCAGCAGTGATGCCAGTCAGTGCCGTCTATCAGTACCCATCATCAGTGTCACCTATCAGTGCCGCCTATCAGTGCTGCATATTAGTGCCGCCTATCCGTGACACCTCATTAGTGCTGCCTATCAGTGCCGCCTATCCGTGCCACCTCATTAGTACTGCCTATCAGTGCCCTTTAGTGCTGCCTATCAGTGCCCATCAGTGCCGCCTATCAGTGCCCATCAGTGCTGCCTCATCAACGCACATCAGTGAAGGAGAAAAATTACCTGTTTGAAAAATTTTATAATAGAAACAAAGAAACTTTTTTTTTTTTTCAAATTTTTTGCACTTTTTTTATTTATAGCGCAAAAAGTAAAGCGCCCAGTGGCGATTAAATACCACCAAAAGAAAGCTCTATTTGTGAGAAAAAAATGATCAAAATTTCATATGGGTACATGACCGCGCAATTGTCAATCAAAGTGCGGCAGCACTGAAAGCTGAAAATTGGCCTGGTAAATAAGGGGGTATAAGTGCCTGGTAGGCAAGTGGTTAGGTAAAGTTTTTGAAACTTTTCATCCACCTGGTTTGAAGTCCTTTAAAAAGGGGTGTTATGCAAGTAACAACTTTGCACTTAGTCTACAGCTTGGGTCACTAGCACATGGGGTATGAAGAGTCTGCATGTTAAGAGTCACTCTAGTACAAGTTATACCTGTGGTTGCCACAAGCAACAAAGGTACCGTTAGCAAGCAGCCTGTCACAACGTGTTCCTGTTATAGGTGGGATTGCCTTTAGACATGAGAGAGATGTTGTCGGTACTCTCTATACCGCGGTTCATCTCTCACAGCAACCAGAATAGAACTGCACTTCTCAGTTCCTATCCTGTACAGAGGTACAGACGTTCAAAAGTTAACCCTTTGAGGACTAAAGTCAAGTGCATGTTGAAGCCCACGCAATGTGCTGCTACTGGGACTGGTAGTGGAGAATGCTGGAGAGGTGGCTGTGGTAAGTGTTCAGCATGTAGATGTACATTTACAGGCGGTGCAATCCAAATGACAAACAAACAAAACCAGCGCTCCAATCCTCATGCAGACTAAAAGAAATTCAGGATGCCAGACGAAGAGGTGCTACCCTTCAAAGATCGGGAAATCTGAACACTGGTGAAAAAGAGCAGACAAGGGCGCACTCTCATCGTACATTACCGTGGTATACCCCGTGTCTATTAAATAGACAAATGGATATATACTCACAAACCAATGAAGATAAAAGCAGTATATGTGGTCCGCAATAACAGTCACACAAATGCTGTGTCCTTAATAAGGAGACTCTAACGCGTTTCGGGAGATAAACCCCCCTTCCTCAGAGCTCTGAGGAAGGGGGTTTATCTCCCGAAACGCATTATGCACAATGAGAGTGCGCCCTTGTCTGCTCTTTTTCACATTTACACGGGGACCTGAGTGTTAACTGGAGGACAATTGTTGTGCAAGTGTACATGGTGTACGATCATCTCTAAAACGTCAAGTATTCCCTGATAACAACCTCAGCCTTGTCCCAGGGCACTGGAGAAAAAGGCACTAAAGCAAAAGGTACCTTGCATATGTGAAGTGAGAGAGAGAGACAGACCTTGTACATGATGCCTAGCGTAGCCCACCCCAGGGGTTGGCCCCTCATGTTTCCCAGACTTGACCCTTAACAAATTAATTGGAAACTTTTTGCGGACGTGACAAACAACCACCATCCTGCTACTTGCTACAAGCAGAATCTTTTTAAGTCCCTGCTATCCAGGTTTTGGTGCACATTTACGTGTGGGTAGTGTAGGGACAGGTTCCCCCGCCTGTGAGGGACAGTATTATCGGCAGGGAGAGCTTCCAAACAAGAAGGGAAAGCTTAGGGCCTACAACTGCCTTGGGCATCTTTTTCGGGTACAAGAAGGCCAGGCCACATTCTTCCCCTCCAGACAGACTCTGTTAGTTCAAGATATACTGATTGCATCTGGACTGTGAGTGAACAATTACTGTGGAGCCACGCTGCACCCACACATGCTGGTAATGATAAATAATCACTGTGTTTCACTTAGCCTTTATGGCATATGCATATGACAGCCGGAGGCAGTCCGTTCATGTGCAACAGACTGATATAGACACAGTGTGTGTGTATGTGGGGGGGGGGGGGGGGTTGCACCCTGTAAAGGAAACATACTGCTTGTCAAGAACCTTTCCCTACTTCTACACTTGCACTTTCCCTACCTTGCTGATCTCTCTCACTACCTTACTGCCTAACTGTGAGCATGCTGAATGACGTCAGCCCCCTATAATTACTGGGCTCCTTCATCAAGATGGCCACCCAAATCTCACAGGACTTCAGCATCCAACAGGATCACTGTCCTCCTCAACATGGCTGCTTGATAAGCCACAGACTCCTACCAATCTGAAAAAAAAATGGCATGTTGCCACCTTCAGGTTGGAAGAAGAGGTAGGCTGTGCAAACACCCCCCTAGCAAGCTGTTTGCTAAGGGAGTACTCCTGCAGGCTTGCTCCTGAGCCCCGGGTCCATAGGCACAGACAACTTTGCCCCACTCCCCCCCCCTGTTTTTTCATCAAAGGATTTGATTAACAGCAGCAGGAGCCAATGGCTCCTAGATTGAGATTTGCTCTGGTAAGTATAAGCGGGGGGCTGGGGGATCCCGGGCACAGAACATTTTTACCAACATTGGTGTCGGTGGATGCTTACTTTAAGTTGTTTTGTTTCAATATTGTGTAACATGTTCTAATTGATTAATTAGAAATTATCTTTAACAGAATATACAGACCTCTAACTATGACCTCACAGCAACACACAACACCAGAATATCCTGCCACAAATACCGGTATATCTCTTGTACCTCCACCATACATGGTCAACATGAATGCTGAATTTCAAGGTAATTGTAAACTTATTTTTCAATAAATAGTACATTTATTTCCCATACAGAGAATCAAAATATTACTGAGGATCTGTCATTATACTGTACCTCAAATAACATTCTAAAACCATATATGTAAAGCCTGTCCTCAGTATTTACAAACATAGGCAATGTCCCTTTAAATCTAAAATACACCACCTGCAATTTATGTTTAAAATAAAGTCCCAATAAAACCCTTTTTGTATTCAAAATAATAAAGGGATAAAAAGTCCTCAAAAGTGCCCGTGGAAACAAAAGATTCAAATTCTCCTGTGCCAGGATGTGAGCAAACCAATCCAGCCACTATCAGAAAAGATATCCAAACTCCTTACCTTGTAATAAGACCCCTATATCTCAAGGAGGTCAAAAAGTGCTTGTTGTAATATCACCATTCCACACTCCTTCCTACTCTGGACCTGCTCAGATGTCTTTCCCAGGATTTCATGGGCAATTCACAGGCCCCAAATGGATAGTTTCCACTGCATATATTTCGACACCACAGGGCCGTGGAACCGCAGATATTCAGCCACTCAGGGCACTACATCTCTTCCCGCATGGACCATATCATTAAAAAAGAACTTTTTAAAAATATATTGCACATGGTGTATTGCAGATTTAAAGAGACATTACCTATGTAGCACCCTCCTTAATTATTTTTCAGTAGGAGGCTGAATAGCAGCCAGGAGCAACAGTCAGAGGCTCAAATTTGAGTCGGGGCTGAAAGGCTCTGTAGATCAGCTCTCTTAAACCTCCCCTGACCTAGAATTCAGTGGGCGGGGGAGATCCTGGACAATCCCAAAGCAGGAGGCTTGGTATGGGGTCAGGACAGCCCTTAAGAGTAGTGAGCCTGCCCAGCAGCAGGAGAATTCGGGTGGAAGATGAGTGAGCAGGATGGTGTGTGTGGAGGCTGGGAGTTGGGTCCAGGAGAGGGGCCTACCTGGAGAAGCTGGAAGGGAGGATCTCTCAGCCTCACTGTCCCCTGAGAGAGGACAGCCTGGGAAGCAGGGAAGGAGCCAGCCCAGCATAAGGCCTGAAGGCAGCCACCGACCCACAAGCTTGCAGGAGAGACTGGGTGAGTAACCCCACACCCCCTGGGCCATATAAGGGGAAAGGGCATTCAGATGGGAAACCTGACTAACTCCCATCTGCTTTCATCTAAAGTGGCAGCTTCTGGGTCCCCTTGCTCAGGGATTCCCTCAGGCAGCTGGGTGAAGATGAGATTTCATCTGGGGTCTGAGGTGGTACACAAGGAGAGGCAGGATAGCTCTCCAAGAAGAGAACACCCTTCTGAGTACTTGTACATAGTTCCAGGAAGTTGTCCTCAGTTTTACAGTTCCTTGGGCATTCCATGTATCCCTCATCCCCACCCATCCCCACCCCTAATAAAAAAATCCCACAAAACACTTTCAAGGACTGTTTATTGTCTCTGGAGTGCTAGGCTAGAGGAAATGTGTGTTTGCCTGGCTGTGCAGGACTATAGTGAGACCAAAATCTCTAGCGACTCCTATGGGGGTAGTGCTACACCTATGTTTTGTGCTTGTGAACACTGAGGATAGGGCTTTACCTGTATGGTTTTAGATTATTAGTAATATCTTTATGTGGATATTCATGTTGGCAGCTTTTTGTTTACATTTTATTTAATGCAGAGTTGTGATTTTTAAGACATTTTCACACATTGTGGGTAGATTTTTGTGTTTATTAGTGCAGAGATTTTAAACCCCAAATAACATAATTAGTATGTTCCTGTAAAAAGGGGGGTTTGAAAACTTTAAAACTTTGCATTTTTGCATATGTTGGCTGCATGCAATTCAGTGACACTGAAAGTATTAGCTGTCCTTCAACTGATTTCACCACCTCTGACCCACCACTTGGCCAACTTATTTAAAGCTGGACTCCATGAAGTTATTATTATTATTACATCGAGTTTATATAGCGCCAAAGGGTTTGCTCAGCGCTGTACAATAGGGGGGACAA